CATTTGGAAATATTGCACATATAGTCGTTGGATGTACGCATAATTTGGTTATTTAATTCAATTATATTACAAACTTACGAATGAATCAGATAAGTTAATTAGTAGATTAAATGTTTGTATCTAATTCATGTCATGCAATTGCATTCTGTCTAATAATGATAATTCATTCATATTCATTACATAATCTGTACACTAGCAGGGAAAGTCTCAGCAGTGGTGATGATCAGGGAATATGGTGGAGCACAGAGAGGAATAATGGATCACAGCAGGAAAAGCAATCACACACAGAGCTGTATATTACTAGTTGTGCTGAAGATTTGGACACTAGTGGCATGCTGAAATTGTTGCTTGTACTTCACATTATGTGATGGTGTGTTGACCTCCAGTGGTGAGCTTGAGAAACACGTGAGCTTTTCAGTTTCAAGTCCACATCTCTACACAGGAGAATATACTTATATATATATTGTATGCGTAATTTTGTGGAAATGATTATTTCTTAAGTGTAACGGTGTGGAAATCAAGCATAGCGTTAGTTCTGGCAGGTCACGTTTGTCAAGCTCGCATCAGCTGACTCTCAGTCATCAGCTGATCCCCATCAACCTATGGGAATACGACACCTATCTAAGCATTCCTATATAAGGTCTTTGCATTGCTCAATAGCTAATTACCCTCCATCCCCAACTCCTCCTCTGCATTTGGATGGCTCTGCATTTAACCCATCCAAAGTGCACACACACAGCAGTGAACACACACACACGGAGCAACCTGTGGACAGCCATTTTTGCTGCGGCGCCCGGGGAGCAGTTGGGGGTTCGGTGCCTTGCTCAAGAGCACCTCAGTCGTATTAATTTATACAGTGAACACACTCAGAAGAATTGGAGAAACTGAGGAGGAGTTTCAGCATCTGGAAAAGATCCCGGCAGCAATGGTAAAAAAAACCCCTCTCCAAAACAACATTTCCTCTCTAAAGCTCTCATCTTTGACAAAGTCCATCATTTATTTTAATTATTATATTGAATTTATTACTGAACAATGGCTTGTTAGATACAGAGAGAGCATGAGCTAATTGAATAGAATATCTTTGTCATTGTACAAGTAACGTTACAATAAGATTGATTTTGAAACTTCCAAATTGATAGTAAAGCTTAAGAATACAAATAATAAGTGCAATTAGCTCAGATGTGCAATGCAGCATTTAAACCTAAACAGTACAAACAGAAAACATAATGAAATAAAACGGCAGGGGGTGAATTTATTATTCCATGTATATTTGAGGTTAATGTGTGTACTGGGCTACTTTTTAGTTACAGCAGCTATCACTGTGTTGTTATGGTCATTAGAGGTATGTGTATAAAACACACAACATTTACCAGAGAGCTTCTCTCTTTTTAACACACTGAATGGTGATACACTATATATATATATCTCATTTTTGTTTTTAGTTGGCATCCAAGTAAAAGAGCAAAACCAAGCAAAACACTAATTGTGACTCCCTGTCATAATTAGTGTAATTAAAGTAAAAAATTGTCAAGCTTTTCTTGTGCTTTTTTCTTCTTATTTATGCTGTGATGACCAACTTCCCGGCAGCAACAGAGTTGGACTTGAGGAATGCAGTTGGGAAGCATTTTAAACAAGAAATAAAACCAATAATTAATAATTTCCTTTAAGTTCACTGTTGGTTGTTTTATTTGTTAAAAGTAAACCAACAAAAGGGTTCCTCTTTTTTTATGTTGTCATTTATCCGTAATGTTTTAATGTTAAGTGTGATAACATGCTCTTGATTTGTATTAGATTTTTTTCTTTTAAATATCTTATTTAAAATTAAATTTTTTCATTTTTATTATCTTAAGTTGTTAAAAACTCCAGATTTTTTATCAGAATATTTATATTTAAGTGTATTGTATTTATAACATTTTATTTTGTCATTAATTCTTTTGTATTTTTGTCATTTTGTATTTTCTTAAGTTGTCCAAGTTGTTAAAATTTTTATTTTTCTTAATAAAAGCTGTATGATGGATTGCCATTTTGTAGTCTATTAGATGTATGTATGTAGTCGTTTAATAGCCGTCTAATTGATGACTAGTCTATAAATGGGCTATGATTAGACGTCTATTAGATTTTCATTGACAGCCCAAATTTAGCCTCGTTTTAGCCTAGACGTCTAGGCTATATTTGATGTCTAATAGATTTCTTTTAAACGCAAAATTGCTTGCTGGGTATCGTCGAGACATGATACGACGCAACTCAGCACGGGGAGGTTCTTTAAGTTCTTTACTACTGTTTCAGCAGGGATCTTTTTTAATAGCTGAAACAGTAGTATACTGTAGGCTGTTTTGGGAGAAGCTGTCGGACATGGGCCGGGCTACACTCTTAAAAATAAAGGTGCTTCACGATGCCATAGAAGAACCTTTTTGTCTAAATGGTTCCATAAAGAACCTTTAACATCTGAAGAACCTTTCTGTTTCACAAAAGGTTCTTTGTGGCGAAATAAGGTTCTTCAGATGACAAAAAGGTAAGAAAGAGATGGTTATTTAAAGAACCTTTGACTGAATGGAACCAAAAATGGTTCTTCTATGGCATCGCTTGAAGAACCTTTTGAAGCCCCTTTATTTTTAAGAGTGTAAGGCCTGAGCGTCTTGGGCCAGGGCCGGGCTATTTGAGGCCTGTGCAGCCGGTGCAGGGCTCTAATCAGAACAAGTTTCTTATTCTCCTCATAACTGAGAAACGTATTTTTGATGTGTATAGCTGAACCAACGGGTGGCGTGAGTGCAAGTTGCAGTAGTCTGAAATAGTCTGGATATTTTTCCTTCCGTAGCCTACTTCATCTGTAAGTTTCTCAGGAGTGATTGGCAATATGATCGCAAATTTCACAAGATCCATTTCAACTGTCACAAGCTGAGGGTGAATCTTAAGGCTTGCTTACACGCTTAGTAGAGGACTGGTGCCGTTTTTTTTCACAACTGAATACTGCGTCACACGCCACACTCGAGGTAACGCTTCATGTGAAAATCACCTGTCCAATTCAGCCAGCAGTGACTCAGTCCACCACATTTTTATTCGCGGGTTTATTAAAAAATACAAATAATTTCCATTATTCAGTTAACTATGTAGCACCCCCTCTGAACTGTTAAGCTCCCCCTTAGCACCCCCCACAAAAAAAAAATCCTGGAGCCGCCACTGGTCAAACATGATGACGATGTTTTCTTAATTTGCTGGTGCTTTTTCTATTTGCATGTGTTTCCCTCGGCCACCGTATGAAATACCTGTCTTGGCAAGTATCTTCAACAAACAAACAAACAAAAAAAAGCTCTTAGTTATGTTTTAAGTGAACGTAAACAGTTGAGAAAGAAATCGGATGTGTATCATTATATTGGATGCATTGTCTCTTAAAGTGACTATGATGTTAATACAAGAAAATAAAAGAGTGAAAATCACTCACTCCTCTTGACTGAATTACTTCGTCGTTTTAAAAATAGTTAATCTATATTTAATTTATACAGTGAGGACTCTGACTCTGAGTTTCTCTACTTATACAAATTGAAAAAACGTAATGTTTAATTTGTATCTTTGTTTTATTTAATAATTATTTGTGCTATTTACACGATTTCAAACAGGGCCCACGGGGTACAACCTGCACCGGGGCCCCACGATCCCCAGCTATGGCCCTGATGACCAGCACAGTGGAGATTAGAGGAACCGAATTATATCTTGCATAAATCTTCATTGATTATCTGCATTATTAGCTACATTCGGAATCTACACAGACAGCTGTACAAAAAACAAACAGAGAATGTTACTACAGTATATTTTCTTATTGTTTTTGGACGATAAGTGGATTTCTGTCTTTGAAATTACTTTTCCAATCCCACTTGAATCAGTCGCCGTCGACATCTGCTGAAAATGTCTTATGTATATGTTCACGCGCACATCCTGTGTTCTGCAGCAAGACGCAGTTGAAAATATTTAATGTGGTTTAATGTACCAGGTAAATGCAGAACCAAATTCAGCCTACCTACACTTTATTGGCGAATACTATATACGGTCGAGCAGATAATTCCGCACTTTGTATACAATTGTGTTAACATGAATAAATAAATAATAAAAACTGTCAAGAAAATGTGGAATGTGTCTGTATTAATACAGTGGGGTTGATGACATATGCAATATTAGCAGTGGAGAGGTGTTCAGCACCAACTGACTATTTTTTTTTTCTTCAAAATTTCATTTGCTACTGATTGACATTTTATTTCACATTTTGTTGAAAGAATCTTGACATGCAGCTGTGATAATGTATAGCCTATGTTGAATATTACACTGCAAGATACAGAAGATTAAGTATTAAGTAAAATAATCTTAAATGGGAAGCAGAGAGAGCCCCACTTCCATCATATTTACCCCAAATTGTTTAATTTACATAATGCTTTCACCATAGGCTAGATGAGTATGTATAGATAATTTTCAATTATATATTTGACTTTCTGTGGACTGAATAAAGTCTATGCATCACAGATCTCTAGGGTTTGAAGGTTTACTATGGAAACAGGTTTTCACCAAGGATAAAAAAAGAAAAGAAAAGATAATTGCAACTTTTTAAATCACAATTATGACTTTTCCCCCCTCAAAAGTTTACATCCCACAATTCTGACTTTTTGCTTTTCTTAAAAATGTACATGATATAAATGTGCATTTAAGAAATAAAGTCAGAATTGTGAGATAGTATAAATTGCAAGAAATAAAATTAGAATTTGAAGACATAACTCGCAATTCAGAATTTTTACTCATAATTGAAAATGTATATCTCACAATTCTGACTTTTTTCTTAGAATTCCAAGATATTAACTTGTTATAAAGTCAGAATCGCGCAATATAAACTTGCAATTGTGAAAAATAAAGAATTTTAAGACAAACTCGCAATTCTGACTTTTCACAGAATTGGAAGACATAAACTCAAAATGGAGTGCTATTGTGAATGGCAGGATATAGGCCTGAACCCCGCAATC